CCTATCTTGGGGCATGTTCCGCGATGCAGCAACTTGACTCCTTGGAATTCTCCCCAAAGAGCAGTTTTTACTGTAATTTATTGCACATTTCCAACACCCAAATCACCTTGCTCCCCCCACACCCCCTCCCCATGGCTCCTTATGTTGGGCGTTCCTGGGTTGTATGTTGGGCCATCTTGGCTCTATCTCGGATCTTGGGACTATGTTGGGTTTTGTTGGGTCGTCTTGGGCCTATGTTGGCCCAGCTTGGGACTATGTTGGGCGTTCCTGGGTTCTATGTTGGGCCATCTTGGCTCTGTGTTGGCCTATCTTGGGGCATGTTGCGCGATGCAGCAACTTGACTCCTTGTAATTCTCCCCAAAGAGCAGTTTTTACTGTAATTTATAGCAAATTTCCAACACCGATTTTGACCCCCAAAAGTCTGCAAATCACCCTGTCCCCCTGGGGGCCCCCCCCCACCCCCCCCACCCCCCCCCATGGCTGCCGCCGATAACGTCTCAGCGTTTCCAACGCTTTCCGTCATCATACAACTACATAACACATCTGAGTACCTATGCAGCTACTCCACCTACCCGCTCTCGGGCCAACCATCGTCTATTGTTTTTTTTTGTGTGTGGGGGGTGGGGGGGGGGCCGTGTGTGCGTGTTACTGTATACACGGCGGCACGTGATCTCACACGTTGCAGCAATGTTTGGAGCAACTAATGCATATGCTGTAACCACAAATATGCTGAGCGATGCTGAGGCTTCTAGCCTTGATGAACTCTGAGGATTCGGTTCATGGACCGCGGTCTTCAACTGCTGTGCCACAGTGCCACAGTGCTGTGCCCTACTCACTACTCATTAAATCAGGCAAAATATGTGCCACCAACGGGCGCCGCAGCAACGAGCTTTGACAGCTGCTCCAATATATCCTGGTGGGCCAGGCACCACCTCTTTTTCAGTGCTCGGGCTGCAGTCTCGTTTTTGACAAGCCGATTGCTGATCATGGCGTGATAGCACCCATGCCAGGTTCTATGGCGACGCGGGGTCTTGCCATCGTACCTACTCTGCAAGCTTGTGCATAAGCCTGTAAGATCAATTGAATAGCCTCTGCTGAAACTGTTGGCTCTTCACTCTTGCTGAGCATTTCAGCCAGTGCCGCAAACTCTTTGTAATGTCTCCGCCAGCCGGCCCAAGGGTAGTTCACCACCACGCCGTCCATAGCACGCTCGAAGATTGTGGCTAGGTCTTGCAATTGATCATCACCGGGGTCCTCCATTTGAAAGGAGTGCATGTTGACAAAGGTCTGTTGTACACATAGGACATCTATGTCCAGAGGTGCTTTTTTCGACAACCGGAGCTGGGAAATGTGCTGAAAAGTCTGCCCGTTGTCGGTGGAAGCCAGGCACAAGTCCATAGTGCGGCCCAGCTGCACCGACGCTATTTGAACATTGCATGCCCAAGGGAGTGGCACGGTGAGTGCACCAATTTCATCATTTGATGCGGCCATGATGAATTTCAAAGTGCAATGTGGTTGGGATGGCAGGACTGGCTGGGGCAGGACCCTGCGTGGCAGCGGCGGGTGCTTCTTTGGCCTTTTCGCAAGGACTTCCAGCACGATGCTGATGGTGGTGCTTGGGTCTTCTCCGTGAGTGGAGAAAGAAGGCTTCAGCAATTCCTAATCATTCAGCAAGGTCACGCCATCCTTGTAGGCGTCCCGCTTTGCGCGGGTAAACTGTGACAGGTGTTGAAACAGCGGCATATCGAACGCATTGCTCACTGTGACTCTGTTTGCCGCTACTCCGCCCAGCATATCTTCAACATAGGGAATGATTTCCAAGCTGTCCACGCAGCAGAAGCTATATGGTAAGGCGACTTGCGCATTGAAGCATGGCATGACGCGTTCTCATGCGTTCTCCACATTTCAAAGAGACATGAAGCGTATATATTTTGTTGCAGACTGCCAGTACTGGTTGGGCGATGATCCATGCCATGGTCTGAAGCAATCTAACAACAAGAGAAAACTCGCAGCTTTGAGAACAAGCTTTTGCACGTCTGAATGCGAACACAATAGTACCCCATGTAGCGCAGGGGGATGGAACATATATTAACCACGATGCATTGATGTGATGTTGTCCCGTTGGCATAGGGACTGGCACACAGCTTTCCACCCCATGCACACGTTGACACTGCTGCAATTATGGCACTGTGCGTATATGTGCTTTCATGTCAAGCTGTTGCTTGATAGCCCTTGACTTGATACGAAGACTGGTCTTGCCGCAGCTTGGGCGGCGTGTAAATTGCAACACGGGTTCTGGCATCTCTAGGCTTTCGCGAGTGCGAGCTTTTTCTGCCTTGTCGATGGGGTCTATTCCATTGAAAATTGCCAAAGAAATAGCTGATTTACCCATAGAAAAAGCATGGTGATTTTCAATAGCAAACGGTTAAATTACCAGAGGGTAAACCCATCAAAGATTATCAAGGTGTGAAACCCATCAAATGGGGATTCCAGAACACGATGATGCCTCAAATTATGTTTGTTTTAATGGACAAATGATGATAAAGCATTGGGGTTTGGGATGCCCTATGTTCAAACAAACCCAAAGCGACAATATCATGTATATGTCTATATGTATGATTGTATATCTATGGGATGTTAATATATGGTTGATCTACATCCCATAATAGTGATTAACACCATTAGCATCCGATGGTATATCAATATAAACATGGTAGATTAGCATCATCCATATTAACATCCCATACAGTGACTCACACCAAAGATAATATTGATATGTGATTAACATCCCATCTAATATAGCTGATTATATCTATGGAATTTTCATATGGTTCACATATGGTCGATTCACACCAAATCTTTCATATGGTTAGCCTCTGGTAAACTAACATAGCTATGGAACATTACCAGTAATTGGTAAATCATGGTAAAACAACATAAAACAACTATTTCTATGGTCCATGTTCCAGAGATTTTCCATAGCAAACTGTTCGTTTACTGTGAGTTTCATCTGGGTAAAGTATAGTAATTCACTAACCTGAAATGTTGGGCTGTTCGGGGATGATTTTCCTATAAAAACCATGATTCCAGTGTTCGGGAGAACAGTGAGGTCAGTGAGGTCGTTATGATTTACCCATATATATATAATATAATTATATTTACATGTATATATATATATGTATATATATATATGTATATAAATATATATATATATATATTTATATACATATATATATATAATTATATATACGTACATATATATATATATATACACACATAGACATTACATATGATATGGATCATATGGATATCATTTATCCATATTATACCACTATGACAATAATTTACCCAGACTAAAATTGTACATCCCAGCATTTTTCTGCAGCCTGGCCAGGCGCCAGGACACAGGGCATCGTTGAGATCCTCACCGTCTTCCAATCGCTTCACATCCTGACAACGGTCCACCCAAAAAATCTTAGGGATTCAATGATGATTTAATGGGATTAAATGATGATTTAATGGCGATTTAGTGGTGATTTACTGGATTTAACGGGATTCAATGGGATTTCATGGAGATTTAATGGTGATTTAACGGGATTTTTTATGGGATTCAATGGGATGTAATGGGGTTGAATCCAAGGTAATCATGTTAGTAAACAAAGGGGATTCACTTAGGATTAACTCATCAAAGAATTGGTGATTCTCAACTTGTTTTTCAAAAAAAAAATTAGGAAAGCAGTAATGGACCAATTATTTTGATAGGTTATGCCACCCACAAAACTTGTAAAATTGGGGGATCGTTTACTATTGCTTTACTAATTCAGAGGCTCTTGATGTTTTCAACTCAAGTGCAGCTGCAAGTTTTTTGGAACATTATATATAAACCAACCACCAACCAGTTGTTTCTCAAGCCACAAACCCGTGTTCGAATCAATCTACTGCTGACTAACTAGCCCATCCTAGGATTTCGAGATACTTCGAGGGTTAGATAATCCTCCAAGCAACCATGCTATGGTGGTTGAAGCCATTTCAAGGCCGCGTTTTTTTACAAAGTTGATGGAGATCATCGAGAATCCAATCTGGGGCACAAAACCCATTTTTTGGACCCACAAAAGTATGATCCCATACATATCCATACAAGGACTGGCAGTATTCGAGCCATTTAGCACAGGACTACGCTGGGTAATGTACAGCAGAACTCACTATTGTAGGATCGCAGTGATTAACTTCTGAGCGCCGTTAGGGGAAGAAAAACTGGTTGGGATATTGTAGTGCTTCGTCACCTGCGCGATGGCCAAAAGAAAAATAAATGAAGGCCCCTCTAACGTCAACCTCTAGGCGGAAAATCGGGTAATTTCAGTGCTTTTGCAGTACGTCATTGTAAGTGGTTACATGTTATCAAATAATCAACATTCTGATCTTCTGATATTTGCCATTATATTGTACATTGCCATCTGGTTATTTCACATAGCCATGGAAAATCACCATTTGTAATAGGTAAACCATCTATAAATGGACCATTTTCCATGGCTATGTTAAATAACCAGAGGGTAATATCAAAGATCAAATTGTCATCTTTTGATCTTCTGCTGTGTTCGTGGCAGTGGCAATCGTGGGGGACTTGGCCAATGGAAAAATTTCCCAAGTTCGATGATGTTCCCGTTTTTGCCACTATTCCCCAGCTACAGTTGCCACGTTTGACGCACAAAAAGCTATGCCAGACTCTATCCGTGGCAACTTCGCACATGATACTTCGCCCAAATGGCTGGGTATATTCCTGGTTGCACGCCATGATTGGTGTCGCCATGGTATCCAGTTGACTCAGTGGCCAACCGCCACAGTCACCATCCCATCCCCAAGTCACCATAAAATTATGGTCGACCGTCTAAACCATCCCCAGTCATGGTACCCTCTGGTAAACGTTTACATAACTATGGAAAGATCCACCATGCTATTAATGGGTAAATCCACTATTTCTATGGCCATTTTCAATAGCAAACTGTTAGTTTACCAGAGGGTAGTTCATGGCGTGGCGGCCAAGCATCGTGCACCAGGTGCACCGAAGCTCTTTGGAAAGACAGTTCGACGGCATCGGTCGACATCACCGATCACGACGCTGTATCACCCCGTGCCTGCGAACAGAGCCAAAATGGTACCAGAAAAGAGGGGTCAGAGTCTTCATCCAAAGTAGGGTCAATTTTGATTGGGTCAGTCGGGAAAATCTTAACCGGAAACCATCGATAAAAACCCATATCATAGGGATTTCCGGTTTTCAAATGTTCCCTTAAACAAATCCAATGAGTAGGGATTTCCATGTCCCTTTTTTAAATGGTTGCTCTTCAGTTTGGATCCTAGGCCCCATTAATGGCACCTTTAAGGTATTTTTCCTCATCAACAGCGTGAGCAAGGCCCAGCTGATCCCTGGTGGTTGATGGTGAGAAAAATTCGAATGGGGTATTCAATGGTCATGGTAGTACGAACAGGGCTAGTGGGGCCTTTAATCCCTTTCCCCAACTAGATCTCTTCAGTTTGGTTGCCATTTTGGGAGCCTTTGCGATTGAAAATTATCATTAAAGCTGATTCAGAAGCCAATCTGGGAAATAAACAGATCATTTCTGGAAGTTATATCTGCTGCTAGTTGTCACCCGTAAATCACCTAATTTAAAGCTACTAGTAGATAAATGCTGGTAGATTGATATTAATCCATGTACCATAAAGAAGTAATTGCAATTTGATCCTTTCACTGTGTACCTCATACAATTTTATCTAGCAGCTAAGAAAAAAACAATCAATTCATGATATACCATATACATATATATATATATATACATTCCATATATCATGTGTATTATATATATATATATCCATATATGTTGTAAGGTATATTATATATCGACATTACTATTATATCATATATATATATATATTGCATTAGATTGTGTATTAAGCTTTATATAATATAAAAAATAACATATATCATATATTATACATATCATATATTATATTGTATATCTTATGTATCATATGTATACACACTATTTATTTGTATTATACTTTATTACATATTATATTATATTTAATACTATATAAAAATATTACTGTATATATGAATATATACACATATTCTATTTATATCATTCATGGGCAAATATACCATCACCAGCTTCCCATGCTCGCCGTGTGTCCTGCACCAGCTCAGTGACTTCTCCCGTCGACTTCTCGCCGCCCCGGCGAGGACCATGACGCCCCAGCGAGGACCATGGCAAGTTCGAACGGGGCGCCGGTCGTTTGAGCACTGAGGAAGATTGGGACATGGCAAAAACCACTCCAGTTGATCATATGGGAAAAAACAGTTACAGCAATGTTAACATCCCATGATTAACATTGATTATTGCCACATGTTCATGGTAATACAACAGTTATTATCCCATGTATCCCATTTTTATGCAGCATTGATGATGGATCCCATGGGATAGTTCATGGGGTCCGGTCCATCCCAAATGAGGATGGAGAATCTCATCACCAGGGAAGCTTCAAATGAGGTTCAACCAACCTTTTATCGGGATTTTTCATGGGGAAGGATATGGAGCATATGGACATTTCCGATGTTTATTTCTGATATCGGGATTTTTCATGGGAAACCTCATGTTTCAATTTGATTTTATCGGGATATGGATATTTCTGCAGAAATCACAGATGGGATTGACGGCATCAAATTGAATCAAACAGCCAACTTCTAATGGGGAAGTGGCTCTCAAATCCACTGGAATTGGGTGTTTCAGAAAATGGGGCTAATGCCCATAGGATCCATGGTGCTGCTATATATGGTAACATGGATCCCATCAATATACCCCAGTCATGTTAGCATATATACCAGCACCATGGATCCGTCATGGGATGTGGGTAAAACAATGTCATAAACCACCCATGACTGGGAATGGTTTATTTATACCACCAACAAAAAATGGTGAGATGAGGGATGGTTTATGGCATTGTTTTACCCACATTACCCCTTTTTCACTATTTCTTGCCGGTTGCCCGGCTGCCCGTCACAAATTGAATGACAGGATGATCACATTCTGCACCACCTTGCAGATGTTAGCATTGTTTTGCCATGAATGATATATAATCTATAAATATAGGATATATACCATTATATATATAGTGTGTATATGTAGATATGTATATGTATATATTGTAATATTCTGTGTATATATATATATACAGTATGTGTATATAGATATATATGGAATATCATGCAAATATAATGTTCCGGAGGAAGGGAGTAATCAGAGAAACCCAATAAACAAAGCATTCGCAATTGGGATTTATCATTGACTACCCCTATTTGTGATTTTGTTTCCGCCCCCCAGGAATCCCATCATCTTTTTCTATAATCATTCAGTTTGATTAGACGATTCATAGAATTAGTTTAATTAGATAATGATCGAGTTTCTATAGTCTATTCCATTCATCTAGTTTTCGAAAGATTGCCCAAGAATCATCGTTATGCATCGAATATCATTCAAGTATTGGTGCAGTATATATAGCCATCCTGGATAGAACAAGGGACATAATAAGAATAATTAATAATGACAATAATAAAAACTCACTAAAACAGGGAATATCATGGAATATATTTCAGAATTCCAAACTCAATCTACTTCAGGGTGGTTATATTTATATATTATATTATAAACAGTATATAGTAACCCCCAACCAGATAGAACAGTGATTTATCATGATTTATCACTATTTCAGTTGGATTTCACTCTTTCATACTCCTTCTATCTATTTGGATGTTTTTTTTCACTAGCAAATACATGAGGGTGTCCATAAATGGAAAAATACCCGAAAAAAATGGATGGTTTATTTCATGGAACATACTTTTTTCAACTGGATGAGTTGGCAGTTTTTGCCATGTTTGGTCATCCCACTGGGATGATCATATATGTGTCTGATCCCTTTTAAAGTGCCGTAAATCATGTAGCTACATGGGGGATTCATAAAGTAGGGCTAGCCCCAGTCATTATCCATGTTATGTTCGGATTGTCCAATATAAATCAATTTAAATCATGTATCATCCATTTTAGATGATGTTCCATGATTTTCTACAACAAAAAACCATCCAGCTGGGGTACCACCAAGGAAGCCCCGAAATCTTGCGAGAACACGGGCCTCGCCCTGGCAAGGGTCACCCACCTGACCGTGGACCAGGCGGACCAGGCGGGCCAGGCGGGATCTTGATGGATGATGGTCAAGGTATACATACCTTCATATATATATATATATAGACATACTGTATCATGTTGTATATGTATAATACTATATTATATTATATTAAATATTAGATTATTTCATATATCATATCATATTATGTAAATAAGCTGTGTCCCAAAGAGCCGTGCAAAAAATGGAACTGTGTGAAAAAAAACAACGATCCCTTTCAAATTGTGTGTCCACACCCATGCGCTGGCTTCACACCTTGATCAAAGAATTCAAATGAGCGAGAAAAAGGAAAAGGAAAAGTGAATCATATATACTAATGGTAATATTGCAATGTAAATGTACTATATTATATATATATATATTATACTAATGTAAGTGAAACACAAGAATGGCCTTCCACTATCATCACAACACTATCATGAGGATGTAGGGACAGGTACCTCTTCAGCGCCACCTTGAAGGTTGCAATCCCCGATCTACGATTTGTGCTACCTGCTACCAGATTTTCAGCAACCTGAATTTACCATAATTTACCTACAAAAATGGTGCTGTTCCATAGCGAGATTAGTTTCCTAGAGGCTCTCCATGATGCAACAACACAATGCCCAGCAAAAATGGTAACTCCATCCACCCTCCCAGCACGGCCGCATTTCGCCGCAACAATGAGAGGGCAAAAACACGGGTGGTCTCTTGGGCGTTTTCACATGCAAGGCCAGGATGACTTAAGCGACAAACAAGGTGATTTAATGGACTGAATTATACCAAATGTATTGTGCCAAGCTATAGAAAACCACTCACCGATTGGCACTGTTCGGGTCAGCCGCCTCCCTTTGTTCGGCGTGCCTACCCGCCAGTGGTTCGACGCGGAGAATAGGAGGAGCACTCGAATAATACAAATAATGTTCACTAAAATATTGATCAATGGATTTTTCCATGGAAAATCTACAGGAAACCGTTGTGTTTTACCAGCAAATACATGTTTTTTCCTATGTGTTCCTGCTGCTATTCCCATCGTCCAATTCTGGTACTTGACGAATAAAGGTCAATATATGATTTAATATGTTTTAATAATCATACTCATGTGAACATGAGTTGAGAAATCAACATGATGGCAGTACAAAAAAAAGTGATAGCTAACAGTCAATGCTGAATACTGTAACTATTGTGTGCAACTATTAACAATCAAGAATTAACAAAACTAACACTAACCAAGATAATAATAGCAGAAACATATCAACAAATAGTAGTAGTACATAGAAAATGCGGACTCATCCGACTCCGTGACTACGAGTATCTCGATGCACATCAGGATAATCCAGATATTGCTTATTGATTTGGACGGTTGTTGACATCTGGATATGATATCCACAAAACATCAAGCAATGATATTTCAAGTTTTCAACGATCCTCCAAAGTGAAAACATCAAAATTATGGTCAATCTGAGTTTGAATCAACCACAGTATGATTACATAGTGAGTCATAGTGATTCCAAGACAATGTCACAATAGTATATAATGGTAGATATATCATAGTACTATACTACCATAGATTTAATTCAATGGTAAATATATAATATATATGATAGCTATGTCATAGAGTCATGGTTATATTTGCTTAAACATATATATATATATATTAAGTGTATATATATATATAGATATTGTTGGGGTCATGGTCTACCCCAACTGTTCTCCAGATGCGCCGCCGTGAAACAAATTTCGTGGTTTCGGTTTCAATCGCGGGTGAAACCCGGGTGGCGCGTGCATCTTGGCAGCAGCCATGGCAACCTTCGAACGTGGCAATCGGAAATACATGGCTGGTTGGTGGTTTCAACCCCTCTGAAAAATATGAGTTCGTCAGTTGGGAAGATTATTCCCAATATATAGAGAAATAAAAATATTCCAAACCACCAACCAGCTATACATGACCAACATCTTTTTTGACGGAAATACCATGAAATACCTATATAAAAATGCTTGACCTATAATTACATAATATTCCATGATGTTCAATGTTGCACCAACATTTTTTGTTTTTCCTCATTGCCATGTCTCAATGGCCATTTCAGGAACCTAAATTGGAGGTACCTACCATATATAAGGCCTATTTTTCAGGCCTATGTTTCAGGGAATATCCCCACAAAATATGGCCTTATATGGTACAGTACCCTCTGGTAAACTAACATAGCTATGGAAAATCTCCATTTTTAATGGGAAAATCCACTCTTAATGGCAATTTTCAATAGCTACGTTAAATTACCAGAGGGTACCTCCAATTTTAGGATCCTGAAATTCCCATTGCCATGTCTGTTTAAAAACGCTGTGTGATCGAACCACCAGGCGCAGTGATCAAAAAAATTGGCAGGTCATCCAACATGGCAATGGACATCTGGTAATGACAAAACATCTCCTGGCGAACTGGAAAATCCTGGGTAAATTATCATATTTCACTAACCTGAATAGTCCGGCCATTTGGGGATGATTTCCCTTACTAACCATGATTCCAGTGAGGGAGAACAGTGAGGTCGTTATAATTTACACAGATTATCGAACTAAATGGGCAAGGTCATTTTCCAGAGCTACAAGTTAAACTATGTAAAAAACTACGAGAGGGTAAAGCTACTTATAATTCACCGAGTCGAGTCAAAAACGCTAGAATTTGCCCCAACATCATTTTTATACTCAGGGTTCATGTTCCCACCAGGGCTATCCATTTGAGTTTCTGATAATAGTGTATACCCCTAAACCCAATGGTTGACCATCATGTTCATCATTATAGGAAAATCAATTTAAAAAATAAGTTCATTATACTACAGAATAATCATTTTGTTGGTATATCCCCATGATATCCTCATAACATGCTGGCGCCATGCCCCATGATCTCACTTGTGCTGGTGCCGCCATGGCACTCATGATAGCCTCATTCGGCCAGGAGAATGGAGTCCATGCCGGGTCGTGAGTCGACTTTCGTGTAGCCCAATCTTCTCCGAGCCACGATGAAGGTGGCCTGGGCCACGAATTTTTCGCTATGATGACGATAGTATCATGAGTCATGATAGTTATCATGGTAATTGTGGTAATCACTAAAAGAATCGTCATATAGCATAGCATGATATATATTATATATATACGTGTATATATATATATATCATGCGATGTTATAACTACAATTATAGTTGAAACATGTGTGGGATCACAATGCAGTAGACAACTGCTACCGCGCAAGATTTGACCCGAATGCTAATATTAAGATCATAGGGTATCATTGATCAATTGATCAATTGTAGACCCAATATTGCCGTAGATGGATTCCACTTCAAGGTACTTGGAACTCGTACTATATACATCTATATACCATGTGCTCCATGTCTTGTATATTTACCTTATGTTGCGAAGCCAATCATAAAACATTTTAACCCTACCATTTGGGGATGGCTGGAATACCAGCCATTTATGGTGACGACTTGGGGATGGTTTGTGACATTGGGTTTACCACAAGATCCATCACCGGGTCATTTGTTGATGGTAGCAAGCCACTGAACATCTCCAACCCAGTCACTAGGCTCATGGTAATGAAAGCACCAAAGCCCAGCCTGCAGTGAAGCGAACATGTTTTTTGGGGGGGACGGGAGGACCTAAAGACGTTTGATCATTTTTGGACTGTAAGATACCTGTAGACTGTAGACTATGATATCATGGCGATCATCATTGATCATAAGATACTCATATATAGATATTTTGATGGCACAGTTTGTTTTTGGTAGCTTCCTCGCGGCATTTTTTTGCGGAGAGCACAAACACCAACTTGTTGGTGATGGTATAACTTATCAACACTACCGTCAGGTAAATATACCAAAGCTCTTAAACACAACCATGGCACACCTCCAACGAAATGATTTATTTTCACGGTGAATTTCTATGGATTTTCCAGATTGTCAATACACTGGAACATCTGCACCAATGACAGTCAGTTGTTGGGTGATTCCCCCAATCCTAAGCATCACTTTACATGACATTGTTGCGAGGTCGACCTCAAATTCACCCAGCGTCATAGTGCTAACCCACAAGTGTTTTTTGTTTAAAGTCCATATTTTGATTGGCTAACACCCCGCAACAAATCCCTATCTATTCCATCCCTCCAACTGTCTACAAATGAGGATTCCCATGCTATTGATCTCAATGTTGAGTAGAAGGTATATTCTATTGATGTATTCTGAATCATTCCCGCTGGTTCATGTTGCTTCAACCCATGGCTGCTTTGGCACCTTTTCCCCATCAATTATTTTGTTCCTTTTTTGGCAAAGATGATATCTATTACCCTCAGGGAATCAAACATTGCAACGGAGAATCCCAAGTTGTAGATGTGTTTCCCATGGCCAAACCTGCAGTTAGTTGGAGGATTTCGCAAATTTAGCCATGTTTGATGACACCAAAGAGTCATTTTCCCACTCTATTCCCATTTAGTCCCATTAAATCACCATTAAATCCTGTAAAATCTTACTATTTTTTATTAAATTGATGGTTAAATCCCATGATATCACCCCCAATAAAATCAAATTCATGGTGAATTTCCACTAAATCCCATTAAACATTAAAAGGCTGGTTGATCCCCTTGGAACTCATGCTGACTTCCCATGAAACCCACCATTTTTTGGCCACGGAACCCGAGCGCTGCCCGCTGGCGCTGGCTACGCCCTTCACTCCGCGCGGAGCGCGGCGGCGTCACCTCGTAGGCGCCGATCTTGTCCACGCCGATCTTTTTGGGGATCCAGGCCTTGGTAAAAACCCATGGCATTCATGGGATTTTGCTGGGATAAATCTGGGTAAATTATAATCATTCACTAACCTGAATTGTTCGGCCATTTGGGGATGATTTCCCTATAAAAACTATGATTTCCAGTGTTCGGTCGCAGTGAGGTCGTGATGAAATTTACCCAGATTTTCCTGGGATTTTATGGGGATTCTTGGGGATTCACCTTGGTCAAAAGCAACAGATTGGGATTCGATCCAAGTAAATGGTGATTAAATGGTGATTCAGTGAGATTTCCCCCCTGGTAAATTGACATAGACGCTGAAAATAGCTTAGTTTTAATGGAAACTAATCTTCCAACCCCAATTTGCCAGGGTCTATGTTAATTTACCAGAGGGTAATGGGATTATAATGGGATGATAATGGGTGATTAACCAACAGATCAATTCTCAATTTTCCCATCTGATTATATAGTTACCAACAGATTTCATGGGATATGATTAATGATATTATTACATGGGATTTGTATAAGCAACAAACTAACACACATGTTTATTTTCTGATGGTGATTCGAATGGGATCATTAACGAATCCATGGGATTTATCCTTGGGATTCGTCTGATTTCATTGGTTTTGGAACAAAAAAAGGTGATCTTTCACGACATTTTTGATGTAGGAATTGGAGCAAATTCAATAACGGCCTCACTGGGGATATTTGAATGTAGAATATATCTAGTAGATCCAGTTTAACTGTAGATATAACCCCCAAAGCCACTTAAGTTGGTTTACAACTCCAATAACTGGGGTTGATTCGGGGCTTATGTCTATAGTTTTTATGGGGCTGAGAAAACCCTGCATGGCTCGGATCTGCTCCGGCTTGTTTTGGCACTGGAATCCATGGGTTTTTATAGGGGGAATTATCCCAAAATGGCCCAACACTTCAGGTGAGTGAATTATTCTAATTTACCCATACATATAGTAATGGGATAGTAATGGGATATTAATGAGATTATTCTAATTTACTCAGATTCAGTCTCCAGAAGTCGCCAGTCTGAGTTTGGAATAACGCATGGCAGCATCTTTGCTATTCCCCAGCCGTAGGGTCACCAATGGACCGGCAAGATTGGTCAGGTTTTTGATGATCTGAATCTATGCATTCGACTATCTATTACATATATCTATGTAGTTGTACATGAACATAATACATATATATATATATTATGTAAAGAATTGTGCATAAATATTGCGATATGTACTGTATATATATATACACATTAAATAGATAAATCGACATATAAATTGAAACATTCAAAAAAAATGACGGCAGTCACCATGGTGCTGTAAGGTTGAACTCCTTATTGGCCATGGCGGTCATCTTTTCTCTCCAGGAATCGCCCACAATTTCCAAACCTGGAGATGAAGACATCGGCTTGAGTTGAACATTGATGAAGAATGATACCATTGGAACCATCAAACATGATGAACAACATGGGATTTACCATGATTTACCATGAGTGAAGATTCAGAATATTCAGAAGATGGGATTTTTTCACATCAAAAAAGATGAAGAACATGGGATTTAACGATGAAAAACCATCCATGATGACCCAGTTGGGACTCAACCAACCACAAAGTTGGCAAAACGCACTACTTGGAAGCATCGTCCTACTGAGTAACTGGTCAGTACCCTGAAACAAACTCAGATAGATGTAGAAAATTGCCATTGTAGTACAGTAAGTAATTCATCCACAAATGGGCCATTTTCAAAAAAAATATAACGTTCACCCTAGTCAAACAGGGGGACGAACCAGGCACCCACAAAAAGGAGAAAACCCGATCCGGTAAACCCTGCATGAAATACAACAGCAAGCACACTTTTGTGCACTTGAGCCACAGCATCGCAAGCAGCAACCCTAAGACCCGGTTGTTGTTGGGTTAAGGGGCTCTTACTCTAACTATGACTATCTACATACCTAACGCATCTAGGTATGTGGTGCTACTACTGTACACAAGGTATTCGGAGTAACTACTTAGGATGTTTTGGAATCATAGCTACGGCATGCCAATACTAGACCTACTACCTATGCTATACATAGTGGGGCTCAGGGGTCGATATATTTCAACTCCCCCCTCGCCTGTTCCACACGTACTGCGCATTGGCAGTAACCTACGCAACTACTGTCGCGCGAACGGGCGTCCGCAGCGACCTAGGCGTTGGCTTTAAGGTCTAAGGGAAGGTCAGTACGTATTCCTAAAAGGATTAGTGCTGCTGCCCATTTGTGTGGAGGCAATGCCTTGGTGAATATGTCTGCCGCCTGGTCATCGGTGTGGACGTACTCTATTTCTGCAGAGTCATCTCTGAAGATTTCAGACAGGCAAGACAAATTTACTTTGTGTGTTCTAGTTATGTGGCGAAGCTTAGGACTATATCCTTTCTCCTTTCTTCACAACTAGGATTGTTGCTTGGTTATCTTCGTGGACCCTAAGGGTTACGGAGCGTGCAAGCAACAGCTCCCACAACTGTAAGGCAGGCAAGCCTTCTTGATAAAGCGAATGGGCTAAACTAACAACCTCGCTTTCCGTGGTCGATCTAGAAGTGGATGTTTGGCGCTTGCTAATCCATGCAAGTGGGAAGAAGGAACTAGGGCCAGTTAAAGCCAGAAAGCCGCCAGAGGTTGAGCGTGCAGTTGATCTGTCGCCGGCGAAGTCGGCATCGACGAACAGTCTGAGCTCTAGGTCTTCAGGTTTGTCCTGAATGGTACCTACTAACCTATAGTGTGGGGTTGAGGCTATGTACTGGATTAATCTTAGGACCTTCTTATCATCCCCCCTGGACCACGACTGGACTTTTGTGGCCAGATCATTGATAGGCTTGATGATGTCGGGACGTGCAAGTCTACCTAACCAAAGGGCTTTCATCAAAATCTTACATGCATTTGGAGCTAGTTCCCCTTTAGTTTCATCATCTTCAATGGTGATGGATCCCTCAGGTGGAAATGGCGTGGCGGCATGCTTGAGTTTGGTGACACCAGTTATTGATTTATACAAATCTACGGTCTGCTGAGCGTAGTCTGCCATATCAAAAACCATGCCAGTTTGGGATTGGAAGGCTGCACATTTTTCATGACCTTCGGTCTTGGAAAGTGGGGTAACAACATGGTTGCGTCCAAGAATCCTATAGATGGGCTCTGGGGGCTCTATATCTACCACGGAAGTTAACTTACTCCAGAATGCATCATGCTGGTCGGCGGGGCCAGCTAGAGTTAAATCGTCTACATAAGTTGACAAAAGTAACTTTGTATCTGGAAAGTAAAAGTTTCCTGGGTATTCTAGAACTTCCTGTCCACCAAGGTTCTTGATGATGACTTTCAGGTGTTGTTCCCACAGGCCTCCGGCATCAGGATGACCGTATAAGGCTTAAATTAAGAGGACTACGGGCTTAACAAACTGTTGTTTCCAATACTTAGGGCGGAGCTCCGGGGGAAGCTCAATCCAGGTCTTGTATTTGGAAGATAACAGTGCTTGGACGTAAGCTTTGACTGCATCTGCAGCCGTCGCGCGGTTACCCGGCAGCGACCCGTACGCCAGGCAGGCGTTTAGCCCTTGGACGGAGGTGGGGTTTGCGCCGAGTTCTTGGTAAACCGCGGCTGCACCATGCTCGTCCTTTGCGCAGTCTCCTCTGTACACGATGCGCCCCTTCATTTTGTGAAGGTGGTCTGCGAGCTCGTAGAATTTAATGGACGCGATGGTCATGAGTTGACCAAAGTCCACTGACACACCCGAAGCCTTAGCTTCTTTGCGTACATCTTCCTTCTCGCGGACCGAGCCAAGATCCCAGGTACCAGCCTTAACCAAACCATCGGCTTCGGCGCGAATTGCCTCAAGGGCCTTGGGGTTGGACAGCATCTCCGCACGGGATAAGAGCTTGGTGACCATTGCTTTGATCTCAGGCGTTGGCGCCTTAGGGTCCTCCAGGTGGAGGGCTTGCGCGATCAATTGTTCATGGTCAAGAAGTTCTGTAACCAGCCTATTAGCGGTGGGGTCTGACTCAACTGCAATAGCTAAATCTTCAAAGCCAGCTAATGGGGATACGTGCTTAAGGTGTTGTTCAATTTCCCTATGGGGTTGAGGCTCGCTAGTTGCCGGTCGGCAAGGCATAGCAGGAACGGACTGCTGGGCACATTTTGAGGGATACAAAGCTTGCGCGATTAGATTAGTCATTTGGGGCGGATACATTGCGGAGCGAGTGGTCTCAGCTCCCTCACATCTGGAATGAGGTTGCTGGCATCGGCACCGCATGTCTTGAAACGCCTCTACAATTCGGGGAGAAGTGGTCTTGAGTTTCCATGGCTTTTTGATGGGGTAACCATTTCTGTCGGTTAAACCTACGGTACACCCTGCAAAACCAACGGTCATAAACTGGGGATGCTTCTCAAAGAATGCTACAACGTCAGGCCTTTTCCAGCCAGAGCAAGGTCTTGGCCATTCGAACGTTACAGTACCACCATGATTGAGAACCCTTTCAGCACGTTTAGAAAAACTCTTAAACAACCGTTTGGACTCTTTGACCTGGTGGGCAAGCTTCCTCATGAATGCGGCACCACCCTTCTTCCTATTGATGTACTGCCAAGGGGATCCGGATGTGCAAGGGATAGAGGCCCACATATGTGGAGGTGCAACCTTAGCGGCTTCATCTATCTGATAGTCTAGTTGCTCACATTGTGACTCATCTCCCAGGTCTATCCTATCCTTACAAAGTCTAACATGATTAATGCCATATTCTTGGTGAGTAAAACCCATCTGGGAGTCCTCAGAACAAGCAAATTCAAACATGGTTGACTTGGCATTGGGTCTGGAAGCTTTCTTGGCAGCTTTCCGGCTCCTACGATTATCGCGGTTAGTTGGCTTACCTACAGCGGGGCAACCAAAAACAGGCAGCGATTTTTGACATAGGTCGGAACAACGATTGGCAACTTGGGGAAGAATAGCTACACCAGAAACAGGAACGGCATGCTCAGGCGGAGCACTGGGTTCGGCTGACCCTGGAACCTCACCTCTTATGAAAATTTCATCAAAGAGTTCCCTATCCTCTGCGGAGAGGTGTGATGGTATAGGGTCAGGTAAATCCTCACCTTGGAAAATGATGCCGTGGGCTTCATCATCCTTGTCTTCCGCTTCAGCTTCACTTTCAGGGGGTGGAGCTTTCTTCTCCCTTTCAGCTTCTTTTTCTTTTTCAACTAACATTGAGAAGCGGGCTCTGCACTCATCAGTGTGTGCACGTGAATGGCCAGTACAGCCTTTGCAGCCAGGGGCCTCTTTCCATTTAAGGATACGGTCTACGGTTATATAAACAGAACGACTTTTGAGACCTGGTGTAGAGGGTGAGGCTATTCCGCGCTCCTTGGGGAAGGGCACATCCTTTAAGGCATATTCAGGCAACTTAAGATCATCTGGGTTATCCCCCCTGATGAGAGCTTGGTGGCGTGAAAAACCTACTGGAAAAACAGGATCACCTTCAGGGACAAAGATTTCTGCTTCTGGAACATCAACGGCTGAATTCCCACCTCTAGTGCGATACTCTTGATAATCTAGCACCCTAAGAACATTTCTATAACGGAAACCAGGATCAATCCTCCAACCCAAAAACAGACCAGGTGACATGTTGGGCTCCAAAGTCCTTTTGGTGGGTGACTTCCTACGGTAATACACTAACTGACCAAAGCATAACCTCATGCCATCAAACTTATTCCTAGTAAGCGACTCCCATTGGGTTTTGTCGGGGTCGGCTATTGAAGGCTTGTCGAATGACATTGAAAGGCAAGCATATGGATAGCTATATGTGTGGTACTCATAGGGAAGACCAGATTGGAGGTGAATAGTGCGGCAACATTCTTTCTCCTCTCGAACATCTCTCTCGAGGATGGCATTGTGGGGCCATCTGTTCGGCAAAGAGGTTTCTGGAACCATGCCTACGGCATGTGCCGCCTGCTCAAGCTCGCCTGCTTCGTCCATTTTGATGAACGTTCGGGTGGTGAGCTCTGATCCACGCAGTCCTAAGAAATGTCTAAAGTTGCGAGCATGCGCGTCAGCAGTACGTTTGGACAATGGGTATGCAACACGCGCACCGGAGTACGCATCGCGGATGACATGATGCGACCTTATTCCCCCTATACCTACACACATGTGTTCGGACCCTTTAGCTAAGATAACATCATCCGTAGCAAGCTGTTCTAGCGGCTGCTTTGGGGGATCAACAAAATCATCGGCTTTGCCATCTTTGACATGTGAAACCCTCATGGCGGTATCTTTTGCTATGTGGCACAAAGGGCAGTAGGGATTTTTGGGAAAATGGGTACGCAAATGCTCAGGGCTAGTAGCTTGTTGCTTTAGAATTTCATCCTTAGGCGGCT